GAGCAGGGAGCCCGATGCGGGACTCGATCCAGGGACTCCAGGATCATGACCTGAGCCGAAGGCAGTCGCTTAACCAACTGAGCCACCCAGGCGCCCATCAATGGGATCCGTCTTAAACTCTGCATTTATTTTAGTGAATCTGTACCATTCACATGTTCTTTATTCGTTCACATTGCATTTGTGAATTCCCTATTTATAGTTTTAGCTTTTCTCTCCTATTAGATTTCTTGTTTTTTTCCAGTTGCATGAAGAGTTTGATGTTATGAATATTACAATGATAAAAACCTCTTTTAGGTAAGCAGTTGCCTGTCTGGTGCTATGGGAAGTGGTGAACCTGCCCAGAAAAGAATTCTCTTCTTAGGAGTTGGTAAAATCTCCTAATAGGTAGTTTAAAAAAAAAAAAAATTCTATACTTGAATTTTTTGTATGCTATAAAGATTCCAAAGTCTGTTATATTTAAGAGTTATGTTGTTTACCCCATTGTCAACAGACTGTCAGAAATTTTTTTAATTTAGTAAGAAAATGACATACTTTTTCAAATTAGAAAAATGTAACACATTTAAGATTTAGAATAGCTAAGAATGATATCCACACATATCTTATCCTAAGAGCCACATGATACATTAATTCGTGTGTCCGTAAACTGGTTCTTTCAGATTCTCTCTGGTTGTACAATTGGGGGCTCAGTATTTCTATGAGGCCTCCGGTCATAGTGATCTCACGTGCTCTTCCTTTCCGGGAATTCAGTATAATCTGTAGGTTCCTTGCCATCAGATTATGACAGTTTTATATAAGCAGTCCTTGTTCCTGCTACCTAGTTGTCCTGGTTGTTAGGTGCGTGTTGATGTTTGAGATGAGCATCCCTTCTTTTTTTTTTTTTTAAAGATTTTTATTTACTTAGAGCACAAGCAGGGGGAGCAGCAGGCCGAGGGAGAGGGAGAAGGAGCAGGGAGCCCGATGTAGGGCTCGATCCCATGACCTGAGCTGCAGGCAGCCGCTTCACCAGCCGAGCCACCTGGGCGCCCTGAGCTTCCCTTCTTAACACAGAAATTAACTTCCTGAAAAGGGCAACTTACTGATTACAATACAATCTGGTGTAACATTTCCCCCCAGCTTTGACTCCAAATCACAAAGCATTTGGATGGGTTGGACTGTAGTCTCTGGGTGTAGGAATATAGGAAACCAGTGGCTCCCTTCGGTGCCGCGGGGCCTCGGTGCAGCGTCCGTGACAGACCCAGACAGGGAATGGACGGGTAGGAAATGGGCCTGGAAATCACTGCCTAATTTGAAGTCGGGTTCTGAGCTCATGAACGAGGGGCACTTTATAGCCGTACGTGCTGTGGGATGTACAGTAATCGGACCGGCTCCCTGAGTCCTGAGGAAAATCTCATCGAGATGTGCTGTGGCTTCAAGGGATCACTCAGCAATGAATTAGTCAAGGAATCTTTGTTTTTTAAAAAAGTTGACAAGTGAACATCTGTAATCGTCTAGACCCTGGAGGTCACATGTAATTTAAGTTGTATTGATATCCTAGTCAACACTTGATCACCAGCTGGCAGAAACAGCTTAAAACTGTTAGAAATCATTTTTTATTTTCATTTTTATTTATTTTTTAAAGATTTTATTTATTTATTAGCACGAGTGGGATGAGGGTCAGAGGGAGAAGCAGGCTTCCCGCGGAGCAGGGTGCCCGATGCGGGGCTCGATCCCAGGACCCTGGGACCATGACCTGAGCTGAAGGCAGACGCTTAGTGACTGAGCCACCCAGGTGCCCCTAGAAATCATCTTTTAAATGTCCGTTAGATAAAAATAGCTTCCTGAAAGTGACAGTGTTTACTGCTTGGAGGTGGATTGTTTTTACCTCTTAGTTTACATAATGCACATAAAATACGTTTATAATCCATACAGAGTAAACTGCCACTTACGCAAAAAATAAAGCTTTCCATTTTGGGTGAGGTGAATGCAAGCATTTCTGCTCGAAGCTTTCTACACGTGCCCAGTGGAGGTGCGGCAGGCCCAGGTGGGAGGAAGTGCACGAGGTTGCTGCGTTACTGATTGCTGCAGCCGACTCACATAGCGATATGTCAGTACAGTTGGGGGCCGGGGGTGGACGAGCCCTGGACGTAGCTGCCATGAGTGCTGTTGAAAGCAGAGCTTCCTTGTTGGAAGAAAACAGCTACTTCTGAGAAGTCTAGTAAATTGCTGTTCCAGGAATTTTTTTAAACGTATTTGTGTGTGCATAAGAACGAATACGTAGAAACAAGGTCAGTCTTTTCTGTGATACATACATTTAATGCAGGCTCTTCTTCCTTTTAGACCTGAAACAGTGTTAAAAAACCAAGAAGTAGAATTTGGCAGAAATCGAGAGAGGCTTCAATTTTTTAAGGTACACATGATTTGGGGAGAATTTTTTATATTGAAATTCACAAAATATTGATCTTTGATATTTAAGTTCTTCATATTAGTAGGGGTTTTTTTTGTTTTTTGTTTTTTTTAATTTTTTTTCACATGTGACACATTTTTAAAAATTTTTTTATTGTTATGTTAATCACCATACATTACATCATTAGTTTTTGATGGTGATCCATGATTCATTGTCTGTGCATAACACCCAGTGCTCCATGCAGAACGTGCCCTCTTTAATACCCATCACCAGGCTAACCCATCCTCCCATCCCCCTCCCCTCTAGAACCCTCAGTTTGTTTTTCAGAGTCCATAGTCTCTCATGGTTTGTCTCCCGCTCCGAGTTCCCCCCCCTTCATTCTTCCCCTCCTGCTATCTTCTTTTTTTTTTTCCCTTAACATATATTGCATTATTTGTTTCAGAGGTACAGATCTGAGATTCAGCAGTCTTGCACAATTCACTTTTTTGTTGTTTTTTAAAGATTTTATTTTATTTATTAGAGAAAGAGCATGAGCAGGGGGAGGGGCAGAGAGAGAAGCAGGCTCCCCACTGAGCAAGGAGCCTGATGCGGGGCTCGATCCCAGAACCCTGGGATCAAGACCTGAGCCGAAGGCAGACGTTTAACCAACTGAGCCACCCAGGCACCCCTAAATTAGTAGTTTTTAAATGCTTTGTCGCAGTAGAACCTTTTCTCCCTTCAGATAAAGTCTTGTTGGAAACCCCAGTATATAAAATAGGATGAAACCAAGTGGCTATCATTTGAGGTTGTGGGAAGGCCTTGTGCTTGCCGCCTCTCTTCCTGTCCAGCAGTCCTTGGGGCGGGCACAGTTGAAAACTACCATTTATCTGGACTAGTAGAACATTTCTCTTTGACTTAATTTTGCTTTAATAATCTGCAAAATGAATATGTTTAGGGTTAGTATCTGTGTATTTATCTTCACGTGTCTATTGTAAACTTTGACCATATTGAACATCGGTAAAATGTTTTTAGTGTCAGTATTGACTTGTATTTTGATTGTGAGCACAAATTGATATACCAACACTTGGATTTTTTAATTATACATGATATAGTGGAGTTCAAGAGTTTTTAAGAACGTGGCCGTAATCCCTCCTGGAACTGGAATGGCTCATCAAGTAAACTTAGAGTATTTGTCGAGAGTGGTTTTTGAAGAAGACGACCTCCTCTTCCCAGACAGTGTGGTTGGCACCGATTCTCACATAACCATGGTGAATGGCTTGGGCATTCTGGGGTGGGGTAAGTAAACCACTAACTGAATTTGATTTGGGGGGAGAGAGTGTCAGGAACGTTGTGAAGGAGCGTAGGTAGCTGGTCTTTGTAGGCTCTTTGAGGTGGTTTCCTCCCCGTAACAGCGGCGACGGGACGACTCTGGACCCGGATGTGTGTGGACAGTGCCCCCGACACAGCACTTCTGTCGCGGGGTGATCTTGGGGACGACATGGTTACTCCTTGGTCCGAGTCCTGCGGGGCTCTTTTGGCCTTCCTTAGGGCTCCACATTCCTTTGCATTTTATACAAGGCCCTTTGCGACCTTCTTCCCCCGGCCGTCTGCGCACGCGCCTTAAAGACAAGTCACGGACCCCCGGCTGTTCCGTCTGGCAGAATGCTCTCAGTCTCTTACAGGGAGTTAGAATTGTTGACTCTTTTGTCTTGATCCTCAGACTGAGCTTTCTGAGGGTCACAGGCCCTGGCTTCTGTTCTTTCTGTATCTTGACAAGCACAGTACAGTATCAGCGTAATAAATACAGAACGTTTACTGAATTTAATGGGAAGGTAAACACCAGTTTGTTTCATCCGTGTGAGTGGAGTCGTTCTTTGAGGAGGTTGGGTCCGTGTCCACAGTAATAGCAGCAATGTGGCGGCTCTGAGATGCTTCGTGAGTAAGATGAGCTCATGGGGCACTCAGAGACTAGATGTTCCACGGAGACCCCACGTAGACCGTACATGATCTTCAGATGTGCTCACCGCCTGTCTTTTTCGCTTCAGGGGTTGGAGGCATTGAAACCGAAGCAGTCATGCTGGGCCTGCCGGTCTCTCTTACTCTGCCGGAGGTGGTTGGGTGTGAGTTGACGGGCTCATCCAACCCTTTTGTCACATCCATAGATGTCGTGCTTGGCATTACAAAGGTAATTGTGCCAACTGTGAGACGTAGTAGACGTTGCGTACAGGGGCCCTGTGAGGGCGGCGTTGGGTTCTGCGCCGCCTCCTCCGTGTGGCTTTCTTGGCCGCGGCCTCGTAGTGACCATCCCGGGAGCAGCCGCAGATACAGAAGCTTCCTTGGCGCTGGGAAGTACAAAAGTGTGTGCCGTGCCGTTGTTCCCTGGACCTGATGCCTCATTCATTCCTCGTCACAAGCCTGGAAGAGCTACTGTGACCAGCGCCATATCAGTTCTGAGAAAACGAGACGGTCAGGTTTAATGACTTGGCAGAGGGTCACCGGGCTGAGCAGTGCGTGCTCAACAGGACGCACCCGGGCTCCTAGCCATTAACACTTGCTGACCACGTGGATTAGAGAGTCCTGTTTAGGAAAAGTAATTGCATCTCTTTAATACCTAACTGAATCATTTGCCCTTTAGAAACTATTTCTCTCCTGGGGAATGTGGACTGTAGAAGTATGCCAGTGTCAAGATCGTCTGTTGACTGTTTTAATTCTTCCAAAGGATTATGGAAAAACTTAACCTGTCTTTTTAAAATATTGGCTGCATGCTATTTAATACATGTACTCTGGAGTTTCCTAGTGAACAGTAATTTGTAACTCTCCATCCTAAATTTCTGGTTTTCAATAACTTTATTTTAATGATTAAGTCCATTTTGTTAAATACATGAGTGTGGGAACTCTCCCACATACAATGCCAGTTTGGATCCTAGAGTCTCCACTTTTCTGGTTAGATTATTGGTCTGAAGGCTTTCGAGATTCTCCGCAGGGAAAGGAAAGATCCAGCCGCCCTGTCGGCATTTAGCATGGAGCCTTCTTCCCCAATTGAAAACATGTTGACAGTCATTGATTCGGTGTATGGGACTGAAAGATAAGAAGTTAAATTGAGAATTGCAGGATTATTCCTAAAGGAAAGGAGTATCTTAATATGCTTTTAGAGAAATCCATATTTTCCCTTGGGTAACCTGAGAAGTAAGGCCACTTTTTAGACCCTTCTGGCTATATCTTTTTGTAACAAGATTACATGTCTATTTTTAAATTTTGGCATATTGACACAGAACTTAAATCTATCAGTATGTTCATATTATTAAATATTTTCTCTCCGGAGGTTCTGTTCTATTCATTATCTTTATGGGATTAATCTGTATTATTTTTCACGATGTGTATCGTGGTACCTCAGTCTTTAGCTCAGTGCACCTTACGTGTGCTGCTCTGATCCTCAGAAGCACAACCATGAGTGTAAAGAAACAGCTCAGCCTTTCATCCAGGAGTGGATTAAACGACCCCTCGCACCGCTGCGGTGTTCGAGCCGAATGTTACTCCTGGGTTGAAGGTGGTTCATTCGCGGTACCTCCCTAGGCGTCTCCTGCCCCAGTCTGAGGCCGTGTTGTAGTTAGGCAAGCCACTATGGTGGTCACTTGGTGATAACTCAGAAACGTGACTTTACAAGGACGTGTGAAATCCTGTCAAAATGAAACTTACCAATAATGAATGATGCTGTAAATATGTGGACCAGGGTTGGAATTCGAAGAATTTTTGTAGCCAATACGTATTTTTTTATCTAAATACAGTTTGATCAGCATGTTTGTATTTCATTACATCTAAGATGGCATCAGTGGTTAGCACTGTTTTGCGTCCTCTAAGAAAGAAGAGAGGCTGCCAGCTACCACGTGCACTGTCCCGTCTGACACTCGTGTGTGGATCTAGCCGTTTTCAGCCCTTAAGCCCTTTCTGTCCTGCCTGGCGGTGACATTGGGCTGGTCTTCTGTGTTTGTCCTAAAATACCTGCAAACCCAGAGTGAGTTGACGTTTGATAAGAACAGCAGAGAACCTCTTTGATCCAGTGTCACTGGTAGGAGTTAAAAATTAGATTTTGTGCTTTTTGGAGAATCCATGCCAATCTTACTAATTTTGTGTGCGTTTCTGTGTATCCCTTTATATAGCACCTCCGGCAAGTAGGAGTGGCTGGAAAGTTTGTTGAGTTTTTTGGAAGTGGAGTTTCACAGTTATCTATAGTGGATCGGACCACAATAGCAAACATGTGTCCAGAATATGGTGCTGTCCTCAGCTTTTTCCCTGTTGACAATGTGACGTTAAAACATTTAGAACATACAGGTAAGAAGATGAAAGATCATTAGGATAAATGTGTTACACATCCAGTGTGTCTGTCTGAAATATTTCCTAATAAAGAACTACTGTGTGCATGGTATTTAATGTTCAGGAAATTATCTTATTTTGAAATAGTGGCTTTAAAATAAACTGCCTCAGATGTCTTTTAAAGAGTGTTGTGCCCTCCAAACCTAGTCCCTCCCGTGTGACCCATTTACAGTGACTTCGAGGGAGGAGTCCGCTACCGGTCTCGGTCCACTGCTTCCAGGAAGCATGGCCTTCGTAGCGGCCAGAGCTGCGATTTGATGGGGGCAGGCGTGTGTGGACTCACGACTCACAGTGTCCCCATAACAGGAGGAGAGGGGCCACCAGACACAAGGGTCTGGGGACCCGTGCTCCGTCTATAGAGTAACACCATTTTGTGAGAAGCAGCATAGGGTTATAGGTTCTAGATCTTTTTTGTAGCCTGATAAACAGGAGGTTGGACCCTCTTGTATTGAGGACATAGTGTAGAAAGATCTCTAAAACCAGAAGGTGCTCCTGTACTCCCCTCACACCCCCACGTCCCTTTTGTGAGAGACCTTGCCGAACTACTGGTCTCTGATCATAAGTACATTTGGGGGATAGAGTCTAGTATTCTTCACTTGGGGGGCAGATTTAGAAGTTAATAGGTCAGATGGCAAAATGGATAGTTGGTCATTTGGAATGTTGGGACGGTTCTCATCGAGTGCAGAGCTTTCTCTAAAGGGGATTTGGTGGGTAGAACATTTAGAGAGAAATGGTGGAGGTGCCTCCTCCCTTGCATGTTAATATGACTTATGTATTAATGATCCGTTGCTATAACAAATTTTCCTAAAACTTAACGGCTTAGAACAGCAATAATCACCCAGGGCTACACAGTGTCCATGGGCAGTGACGTAGGTGGCGCGGCTGGCACAGCCCGTATTTGCTCCATGATGTCCGCAGCCTCAACCGCGAGGCTCAGAAGCTCGGGCCTGGGGTCCTGAAGGTCGTCACCTGTCGACGGGTGCTTCGTAGTGGCCAGAGCTGAGATTTGAGAAAGGCTACATCTCCCACGTGGCCCTTCTCACGCGGTGGCCTTTCCAGGGCAGGGTGACCTGCGAGAGCGAGCGCCAGCCAGCCAGGGGTCCCGTAGCTCAGGTCCACGGGGTCGATTCTGCCCCTTGACGGAGGGATGTCATTGTCACATTGTAGGAAGAACATACAACTCGGGGTGTGTACTGTTAGGTCAGTCACTGGAAAATACGATCCGCCCCACTGTGTACCTCCCACGAGGTTTGCAGAGAACTGCCTGTGGTTAACATCTAGATTCTTTTACCTTCTGGAAGATCTTGTTAGACCTCTGTCTTTCTGCTCATGAAACGTCCTTAAGCTTCATTTATGTTTTCATTTTGATTTTTATATTCATACTGGAAAATAATGAGTGTCCCTTGTGTTGGGTGTTATATTCAAGGTTACTGATTTTTTTTCTGCCAACTGTAGGTTTTGTGAGTTTTATAGAACTGGCTCAGTGTTTCTCATCTTAGCTCTGAGTAACTTTTAAAGGGGGGCTCCAAGTTTTCATGAAGGGTAGAATTTTTACTACTCTTGAGAGTAGTATCAGTTAGCAATTTGTAAAGAACTGTATTTTGAGTACTTAGTAATGTGCAGTGTCTGTTTCTTGCTCATTGGAATTCAGCACCTCACCCCGAAAGAGTTCAAAATTTCTTACTGTACTTTTGTCCTTGTTAACTCTTTCTAGGTTTTGACAAAGCCAAACTCGAGTCAATGGAAACATACCTTAAAGCTGTGAAATTGTTTCGACATGACCAGGATAATTCAGAAGAACCCGCGTACTCCCAGGTGTGTGTGGAGGAGCCCCTCGTCGCCCGGCCGCCTGCATCTGGACGCCAGCTCCAGGCCTGCAGCTCTGCGGCCTCTCTGCTTCTGTGTGCTCAGCTCGGAAATAGGAAGCTGTTCTGAAGGGATCAAGTACATTAGATTAAAGGCATTAGAGTGGTTTCAGGCACCCAGGAAGTGCTCAGCAAACGTCGACTGTCGTTACCATTTAACCTGTTAACGTTACTTGTGACTCTGCTTAGATTTCATTCATTAAGTTTACGTAGATTTCTGTTAGCGAATTTTACATTTTATTAAGTCTAAATTTTTAATATTTAAAACACAAAATGGACTCTTCATCTCTCACTCTGATTTTTTTCTACTTTATGATAAGAGCACCGTGATGTGCTCTGAACCTGTCTGTTCCGGGGATGCTTGCATCTGGTTAGCGTCTGCGTTCCGTAGAAATTGCTGTGAAAGGAGTTTACAGTGATGTGGTCTTAAATGTTAAAGATATTCTGTAATCTAGGCCTGCATTTCTTACCTGTTGGAAATTTGTATTGAAGTAAGTAAAGTTCACATTCAGGGCAGTTTGAATTTTCATGACCTTCCTTTTCTAGGAGTGTGTCAGCCTCTCAAATTACTTGGTGTTGTCGAAGTTAACTCTGGTTAACTGTTAAGCTATTTTCTTAGCTGACTAACAGGAGCTGAAAACTCCTGTTTTCAGGAGTCATTCTCTGATTCAGCTTTATTTTTCCTCATACCATGTATCCCTGCTTGAAATCTATTCATTTTTATACTTGTTTGCCTCTCGCCCCGTCCAGAAGGCAAGTAAGTTCCCAGGAGAGGAGCTTTGTCGGGTGTGTGTGGTCTGCAGCTCCAGCCCCTAAGCAGTGCCCGGCGCACGGCAGACGTGATGGGTGGACCAGCGAGGCCACACAGGTGTAGTGCAGGCCCGTGTAGTGCCCATAGGACCTGAATCCGTGTGAACTTCGGGGAGATCTTTACCTTGACTCATCATTTTCTGGTCCCCTTGAGCTCTGTTTATTTGGTGCTTTTAAAGACAAAGGGAAAGAAGAAGAAAAGTGAAAACCCTCGCATTGTATAGTAAAGAGGAATAAATTTGCTTATTAAAGACCAGACCAGATTAAAGAAATAAAACTAAAGCCCATCAGGACTTTGATTTCAAGACAAACTCATTAAGATGTAAAGACAGGGATCATCTGGATCCGTAAAGTGAAACTACAGTACAGTGGGTGTTGCAGTTAGGATCAGTCAGAGTCGACAGGACTGTGAAATATTGGTGAAGCCCATAGTGAAGAGAAACTTCATTTGGACTGATTATGCCCAAATAAAACGGACAGAGGAAAACGGTAGAAATGCCAGAAGAAATGCACAGAAACCTAGTTTGGGAGGTTGGGTTTTAAGAAAATACAGGGTTTTTTTGACAAAGGAATAAAAGCGTGGCCTTGCTGGAGCCTGGCCAGCTAGACACGTTGGAACTAGGAAGAGAAGAGTCCTTCTGCTGTGTCCCTCCAGCACCCTGTGCTGACCAGACTCAGCGCCCTGCACACCGAGGAAGGAGCAGTGTTTCCTGAACCCACCTCAGTTGTCACAGAGCAGGGAAGGGTGAATTTGGAGCTTGGGCAGAAGACCGATAGCCGTCACAGGCATCTGCTTTATCATCAGGCATCTGTGACGATAGGGGAAAGAAATCGGGGGAACAAGATACTCTAGACTACACGGCTGGTGTTGGGGCGGTTTGCATACTGATCGGTGTTCGCTTTTAGCCAATGTTTGTTCTATTTCACAAATTAATTGGGATTGTTTTAAAATCTTTATTTCTGGGGATGTAGATCACCATTACAACAAATGTGGATGTATTTATTCTGCTTCAGGGAGTAGTGCTGAATTGCAGTCTACCTAACAAATTCTCATTCCTTGTCTTCCTCTCCCCTTTTGTCTCTTAGGTGATCCGGATTCAGCTGAATTCAATAGTTGCATCTGTCAGCGGTCCAAAGAGACCTCAGGATAGAGTTGCTGTGACGGACATGAAACGTGATTTCCAAGCTTGCTTGAATGAAAAGGCAGGTTCCTGCACCACCACCTTTGTCAGTACTTGTGCTGAGTGATAGAGGACCAAGTACTTCTTATGCTGAGTGATAGGACCAAGTACTTCTTGTGCTGGGTGGTAGAGGACCAAGTACTTCTTATGCTGAGTGATAGGACCAAGTACTTCTCATGCTGGGTGATAGAGGACCAAGTACTTCTCATGCTAGGTGGCGGAGGGGCAAGTACTTCCGATGCTGGGTGTCAGAGGACCAAGTACTTCTCGTGCTGGGTGATAGAGGACCAAGTA